GTGTCCCCCGGGGCACAGGCCACTGCCAGGGACCTTGTGCCCTTCCTGTGGTGTAGTGTAGTGTGGTGGTTGAGGTGAGTGGGTTTGTGTGAGAGAGACCCTGCAGATGCCCCTGGAGTTGTGGGGTTCTCTCTGATGGGGGCAAGGTCACCAGATGTGGCCTGAAACGTGACAGCTGGTGGACTCAGCAACCTCTTTGGAGCCTTTGTCCTTCAGGGAGGTGTTTTTCCATGCTACTTTTGCTACTCGTGACTTAGTCCACCTAAAACATGCATCTGGTTGGACCAGATAGCACCTTCAGAAACTCCTTTGTGACAGAAATTAGTAGAAGAGACTAACAAGGGCTTTGAAATCAGAAGCTAGTTTGGGTGTGTCGTGGTGGGCAGCAGCCCGGGGCTGCACGTGTCCTTCCTGAGTGGGTGGCAGAGGAGAAGCTCTGCTCTTCTCACAGCTGCTGTTTTCTGCTGGTGTGTTCCAGTGGAAGCAATGTGTTCCAGGTTCTGCTGACTTCGAGGTGCGTTTGGTTTGCCATTACTCATTAGAGCTCGTGAGGAGGCCGGAGGAGCGTGACCTGTGAGCGCCCAGGCTGTGTGCCAGGGGCTGCAGCCCCTGCAGGGCTGTGCTGGTGCTGGTCAGCCCTTGCTCTGCCTTCCAGCGTGCTCCAGCAGCTCTGCAGGCAGAGGTTTGTCCCCCCTGGTGCTGCACGGCCGGACGCTGCGCCTCGGGGTGGGCGTCACTGGGCTGGGGTGGGAAGGGCTCTGTGGGCAGTGCCAGGGAGGGCAGGCAGAGCAGAGCCCCAGGGCCCTCGGTGCCAGCGAGTTTTCTGTCCCCCCCTTGTTGCCCAGCATTTAGCAAACTCACAGTAATGTTTTTGATTAAGGAGAGAGCTCCTACCGTGGTAGGTCTGGCAGGACGTGGGTTTCCCAGAAAGGAGTGTGCTGTTAACGTGCTGGAGCCAAGAGCAGCGTGCCCCCCCTCTGCAAAATCTGCATTTCACAACCCCCTTTAATTACCAGTCAGAGAGCAAAGATGCACTGCTCTGGGTGGTTCTGTGTTTAAAGGTTTTGCTGTTTTGTGGCTTGTGGGGAATTTTCTTGGTGACCTAAAAGTTCTAAACATGTGCAGAAGCTTAAACATGTAGAGTGGGTCAGATTGCCAACACTGGTAGCTCTGGTTGCCAAGCAGTGACTTGGCATGCAGCTGAAGGCTGTAGAAGTTGCTTTTCATGCTTGTAGATGGTAGAGGATGGAGAATCAGCACTGTTAAATGCTGGTACTGAGCTATACAGAACAAAGTACGCATTGGGCACTTCTGTAATGCCGACTGTGTCCAGAAAGACTGGTTTGCAGAACCTCATACCGGTATCTAAAATGCACTTTAGGTTATTTTATCTTTAACCCAATTGCTGCAATTTCTTTTGTATATACTTTCACAAAGTTTATTTTTGCTCTGAGTAAAAGATAACAGGGGTGTGCAAAGATGAGCACTTAACTTGGTGCAATACTTGTAGCTAAAGATCCTTGTCCCGCGTGGTGGGTCTGTCTGTGTCTGTCTGGCGGAGCAGATTTCCTGAGTGCTCGGTGAGGTGCTGCCCTTCCCTGCCGAGGCCCGAGAGACATTATGCATCATTTGGAACGTCCAATCTATGCAAATACTCCTCTGAGAGCACTGGGCTTCAGCAGCCTGTTCTGCCACGCCCTGCGGTGGGCGGCCGCGCTCCCCGGCGTGTCCTCCCCTCGTCCCCGTGTTCCGCCACACGAGCGTGACCAGGAGTGGCCAGTGGGTCTGAAAAAGGCATGTTGCACCTTTAGAACTTGTCTTCGAGGTCGTTTTTGATGTCATGTTACCTGCCTTACTTCACGGAGGATGGGGCTTCTGCAGCCCTCCGAGATCCTGTGTCTGCAGCTGCAGTGACACTGTCAGGCTGTTTACAGAGCTCCTCCCGGGCGGTGCCGAGCACGGCGCGGGGAGCAGAGTGAGGACTGGCCTGGCGGCTGTGGGGGAGATGGGTCCAGGTGGAACTGGGCTTGGAGATGAAAAGCTGTTGCCCATCAGGGCGTGGGGGTGGGGGCATGGCTGGAAACTGAAATGAGGGGCAGCCAGCTCCGTGGCGTAGAGCAGACAGGATCCTGGTGCCACGTTCTTGGTTCTGCCGCTGCCTGGCTGAGGCATCTCGGGCAGTCACTCGACCTCTCCGTGCCTTGGTTTCCTCCCTGTGAAATTAGGACAATGAGCTTGTCTTTGTCCAACGCTTTAAGATCCGTGGGTGGAGAGTCCTTGGCATTAGTGATCTGAGCTAGCTTGGCAGAATTGCTGGAGTCAGTTTGGACTGTAAGGCAAAAACAAAAGAAAAGATCATGTCTTTAATAAACCCAACAAATTGCTGATTGCATAGTTTTTAATTGTACACTATTTTTTCCGTAACATATTTTGGAAACAACGTCAAGTTTTTATAAAGGTTGCCTGTAGTTGATACTCATGGACAGGGCTGAACTTTTAACTTTTTTGCGTCTTGTCTTGATATGTATCATATGTTCTAGAAGTTGGATTCTGTGTCTGCACTGAGAAATGCAAATTAAACTGGATATTTATGTGGTAGTGTTCATAGTCTAAGTGTGTGTCTCCTTGGAATGAGTTTAAAAATCCCACACCATGCTTTTGGTGGTGTGCAAGCTGGCCAAAATTTGGTTCATTATGCAGTGTACACTTTCAAATAAATGCAGTTTCTACTTTTTCTTAAAAGAAATTTTTTTCATATGATCTTTTTCAGCAGAATCAAGGGTATGTTTTTGCAGTACCGTAGTTGCAGTAGC